GAAGAAGACACGCAAAAATTGCTCAAGGCCCCTTGGCGCATCCCTTTTTGTGGACACATCAGGTGCCAGATAATGATCCCAGAGGCATGGTACCTCCTGGAGGAGGGAACCCTAGGGATCAAGCTAATATTAGTTTCAACTTACCTAGCATAAGTGACTCGTAGGCTGAGTAAATGAGATGAAAGTTTTTTTATAGGCTACATAGATAGATTGTTTTCTACGACTTATTAATCCTTTGCAGGTTATTTAAAGCCAGAAAATATTTTTAGATTATTATTTTTTTTTTTTAAATAATAATGTTTTAGTGATACAAGTCTTACTAATTAAACCATAGCTGTCGGGGAGAAGAGGTGGATTCCTACCTTTTCCCAAGTAAGTAAACATAATGTACCCAGCTGAAATAATAATAATAATAATAATAATAATAGCAGCAGCAGCAGCAGCAGCAGCAGCATTGTTATTATTATTATTGGAGAGAATGCAAAGACAACATTTATCACAAGATACCTAGGACAGGAAATGGTGGAGAGCTATGATTACCAACACCCTGAAGGGATACAGCCCATAGACAAAGAAGTGGTTTTCTACTTCTATGTAGGTGGGGACAACCTTTTTTCACCAACCCAACACTACAATAAAAACTTGCAAGACTTTTTTTATCAAAATTAATTGCTAAAAACAAACTCTGTGTTACACCCACATCTTTTGTTTGTTTTTTTTTTTGTTTTTTTACCATCTTAGAAACGTAATATTGAATTCAAAATTTGATTTGAGAAAGATTTGTAAATAAGATAAAATGTCAAGTTCTTCTCTTGCAAGGTGTCGATAATAAATTATTGAGAATGCACAAAAACAGTGAGAAAAGTGAAATTCAAGAAAGAGCAAATATTTTTGTTTGCTGAAATCAATGTATTTGTATTGACAAGGCACAGCTGGACAGTAAGTTAACCTCAAAATGACAGCTATAAAAGATCTGAATGTTGATAATATTTTGAGCTTACGTCAAAAAGTTTTTGTCATTAAAGCTCAACTTGTTGGCAATAAGAAGTACTTAGTAGATTGATTGATTTAAAGCTGAAACATATTTTTGGTTGATTGATTAATAATTTTCAACCGCTTATCAACCCTTTGCACATTTTTTAAAGCCAGAAAATATTTTTATATTCTAAGAATTTTTTTTTGGGTGGGGGGAGTAATAATGATTTAATCATACTAGTCTTACTAATTAACCCATGGCTGGGAGAGAAGTGGTGGCTTCATACCTTTTCCAAGGCTATTTGTGCGTAAGTGAATATCGTGAATCCAACTGGAATTATTAGAAGTCAGCTCTCTGATTAACAATTCCGAGCCATTATCCATTACACCACCCACACATCCAAACTTACAGCATTTCATATTCTCAATTAATCACCCATCCAGGTACTGACCAAACTCGCCGTTGCTTATCTTCAGTGATCATATGGAAAACAGTGTTTCAACATGATGTGGCTACAAGCCTCATATTTTTTGATTGTAAGAATAATTCTTTTTTTTTTTTAAATGAATCTTGTATTAACAATTTTTTGAAGATAATAATGATCTTCAGATAAAAGTTTTACTATTTAATCCATAGATAGGGGAGAATAGATAGATTCATTCATTTCTGAAGGGTATTTGCTGATAAGTGAATGTAACGAACCTGACTGAAACTCAAACTTGGCTCTCCAATTTCTCAATCAAATACATTCTTCTTATATACTATCATTCGCCCAACACAAAACTCAAAAGCAACTCGCAAAGGGTTATTTAATAAGGTTGTTGCTAGGACATAAATGGAGGAAGTAAAAAGTGTATATTATGGGGATCTTTTTTTAATCATTGCACTCCAGGCAAGGCAATAAAGCCACTAAGATACAATAAGCCACTGAGTGTGAAAATATGAAGAAAAGGAAAACATCATTGTTGTAGCATACCTACAGGCAATAACTGGTATGTCTCGATTCACATAAATACAGTAGTAAATACTGTATGTTGGTCTGCAGTTGGAGATTCATTGTGGAATTCATTTCACTCACTTTTAGCAGCTGACTGTTTCTTCTATGCTCCACTGGCAAATCTTATATGCGTTGTTCTTGTCCTAAGTATTATCGTTCATTACCAACCTTCATTTGATTATTCTATTCAATAACTTTCCCTAGGTTACAACACTATCTATCTATCTATCTATCTATTGTAGCATACCAATGGACGATAATGGGTATGTCCCCATTTATAAAAACAGTAGTAAATACTGTATGTTGGTCAGCTGTTGGAGATTCATTGTGGAATTCACTTGACTCCTAGCAGTTGACTTCTTCTTCAATGCACCACTGGCAAATCTTATATGTGTTGTTCTTGTCCTAAGTATTATCACTCATTACCAACCTTTGTTTGATTATTCTATTCAATAGCCTTCCCCAGGTTACAACAATTATTAAGGAGAAAGAACAATAAAAGAACAGAAATTAAGAAGACCGAAAATAACAATACTGCATTTAAATTCTTGAAGATCAAATTTAACTGGAAAGCAAGAAGCCGGAAGAGAATGCCACAAGTGAGAAGTCCAAGAGAAGAAACTGTTAGCATAGAACTTCTGGTTACATAAAGCCATTTCAACTATAAAATGAGAAGACCTCACTGCCAACCTAGTACTGCACTTAAAATTTCTAAATTCTCCGTACCAAAGAAGAAAGCTCATCAGAATAATTATCATGAAAATATTTGTAGAAAAGTCACAGGGAAGCTACATTATAATGATGGGAAAGCGACTGAGGCTAAGATGGCAGGTCAGGTCTGGTAAAATTGAAGCTTTTTATTTTAGTTTTATCAAGAACCTCTAAATATATATCCAGAGCACCAGACCAGATGTGACACCAATATTTGACACATGGACGAATGGTAGACTTATAAATATATAAGATAGATTCTGGCAAGAAAAATTGTCTAGCACAGCACAGTGAACCAAATTTCCTAGCAGCAGACTAAGCAATTGATTCTATATAATCATTCCTCTTCCTGTTAGCAGAAAATATTAGCAGAAGAAGGATATGTAGGATAGATAACAGTTGACCCTAGACTTGTAGATGTTAAGATCATAATGATCAGAGAAGCATCCTTTTGGGTATATGTTCCTTAAAGTAACAGCTCTAGGGTAAAAGCTATCTGAATTGAACTTCTTCTTTATCAATGGAATATGAAATGAATGAGAATATCTGTGTATGTGGCATGACAAGCCCTAGCTGTGAAGGTCTGAACTGGTGGAGCAAGGAATGTAGCTCATCTAAACATTTTCCATGAAAATAGTGACAGTGTAGGGAGAGACTAGCAACATTTCGTCTGTGGCAAATAATTCATCAATAAATGCTTTCGAATTCTGTCAAGGTTGGAGAGTGAGGACTGTAAAGCACCAACCAAGATAAAGTAGCAATATTTTGTTTTTGGTCTGATCTGGCGCTTTCTGAGTCAAGTACTTCCTGGAACAGTACAAAGAACCAACCATTTTTAAAGCATCTTTCGCAATAGTACAAATATACAACAGCCACTTAATTTTTTTTAATCATTTCAACCTGATATAATGGAATATGCATACACCTGTGTTCCCCCTTACTGGAATATGATTGGCTGATGTCCATCATAAATACCGACGGACGTGTAGGAGAGTCAAGAGCCTTAGTCTGAGAGCTAAGTCTATAACAACGCCCATTGGACTACGCCATTGATCTACACTTCTTGCCTGTGACTACGACGCGTACCAGTTGATTACTGCTACCGTATTCTACTTGGTTATTGTAGCCAAAACCACTTAGCTACCTTATTCAAATATATCCCTTTCCGGGACATATCACAAACCAAGCAAGGCAATAAAGCCTCTAAGACACAAAGAGTTACTGAGTGTTAGAGAATTTAAGAAAAATATACTATTAATAAGAGAAGACAATAAAAGAACAAGAATTAAAAGACATAAGATGACGATTGACATTACATTTAAATTTTTGAAGATCAAAGTTGACAGCAAAGCAAGAAGCCGGAAGAGCGTTCCACAGTGAGAAGTGTAATAGAAGAAACTGTTAGCATAAACCACAACATTGTCTGTATAAATATTTACTAACGATATTTATAATATTATTCGTGTTTTGCTGCTATAGTTAAACAGGAAAGAAAAGAACTTCATTGTTTAAAGTTGTTAAATTTTAATACACAATCCTCAGTTGAAATTTGTTGCAGAACGGAAAGAATTATTACTTTATGATGTCTGCTATTAGTTATTCCACAAACAATATTTGGACGACTCATGTGAGTCCAGATAAATAAACAGGACACAAGACATTGTGGCTGTCAAAGTGAAAGGAAAAATGTGTTGCCAATCTCAAAGTCAAGATAAAGAATCTTTCTAATACCATGCAATCTATGATTACCATCAAAATCAATAACCCAACAAAACGACAGTTCTCATTTAATCAGCACAGTTAAGCAGATTAAATAAAAGGTTTCAGTTCAAAATTCCCTGTAGGTTACCCAGATTGACATACACCTGATGAAGGCCAGGGGGTACAACAGCTGAAACATTGTGATGACAACAACAAAGATGAGGACAATAGTCTGCATGTAAATAGTATAAATAATGTGTTTGGCAAAATACTGGCTGAGAAATTTGAAAACATTCATATCATTACCATTCATCTAAAGTACGAATTGCTGACTACAACCTGTCTTAAATCACACATTACGGGTATGACTCAGTCAGTCAGTTACGTGCCATGCATGATACATGCGTAGGCGATCATGTATCTTTCGATACATGACAGACGAGGCAGATTTTTTCCCACAGCAGGTTGCCATTTCTTTCTGTGGTAGACCAGTTGCCATCCAAGGCTATAGAACATGGTCTGTCCTGCTATTTACCCATAACTGGAGAGAGAAGAGTATTAGCACCTAAGTGAATGTAATGGATTAGATAGATATATAGATAGATAACAGCAGACTGTGATAGATAGATAGATAGATAGATAGATAGATAGATAGATAGATAGATGTGAACAGACCAAGATAGATATCAGTTATGTGCCATGCGTGATACACACTCAGGCGTTCATGCGTCTATTGATACATGACAAAGCAAATTTTTTCCTGTAGTAGGTTGCCATTTCTTTCTGCAATAGACCAGTTGCCATCCAAGGCTATAGAACGCAATGTGTCCTTAGACCTACATTGTTTCTAATTTTCATAAATGACCTTCCTGATGTCATCAGTTCTTAACTTGGTATCTATGCTGATGAGACAACTATTTACTCCTCTCTTAATAGTAAGTCTGATCAGTTTGATAAGGTCAAATTGGCAATGGATTTAAAAAGTTACCTTGTTAAATGTGGCAATGAATGGCTTGTTAATTTTGACACCTCAAAAATGAAACTGCTCTCTTTTAATCATCTGAGAAAACCCTTTTTACCTTCCATCATGATGCTAACCTCCAGGAGATTGACTCATTATGCCTTCTTGGACTAAAATTTTCAGCTGACATAAAGTGGAAAGTTTATATTGAATCAATTACTAAGTCTGCAGCTAAGAAAGTTAGTTCCCTGTGTGGTGCTAGCAATAATATATATCTTACTTATTATAAAATGCAGATTGTGTGTGTGTGTCTGTATGTTTATATATTGGATTGGATTTCCTACATTTTCAACCGATTTCAACAAAACTTCACAGGACTACGTAAAATTACCTTTGCGGGTGGTTCTGACAGCGCAAAAAATTGGAAAAACACAATTGTTTTTGCACAAAATCAATTTGAAAACACGATTAAGAGGCATTAATGAAAGGGGGACAACTCATATCGAGTTATACTTATTATAAAACCCAGGTTGGTTGTTTGTGTGTGTGTGTGTGTGTATTCGTTTATATATGGGATCGGATTTCCTACATTTTTCAACCGATTTCAACAAAACTTCACTTTTTTTTCGCAAGTAGTGTTTCTTATTGTCTTGCACACTTTTTTCTTTATTTTTACATTCAGAATGCTTTAAAAATTCCAGACAATTGTTTATAATAAAATTCTATTCAATCGGTAGACTCATAACGATTGAAAACAATGTTTTTGTTTGAGTTTGGGTTTGACCAATTTGTAAAAAAAAAAAATAAAAAAAAAAATAAATAAAACTAATTAAGACATGCGTGTCCGTCAACCTTAAACAATAATCTTTGTCAATTTTATTTTTCAGTCTTTATGATGATCGATACTTGATCTATCTCTTACTGTTACATCCCCGGGCAACGCCGGGCTCTACTGCTAGTATCTTATATATTTATAAATCTGTCATTCGTCATTGCTTTGAATATTACTGCTATATCTGGTCTGGTGCTTCTGCTATATATTTAAAGATTCTTGATAAACTCCAAAGAAGAATCTGCAATGTTATTGATCCTGACCTGACATCTTGGATTCAGTCCCTTTCCCACTGCTGCAACATAGCTTTCCTTTTCTATAAATGCTTTCATGGTAAGTATTCTGATGAACTTTTCACCATGATACCTCAACTTTATGAATTTAAGCAAAGTACTCGATTACATTCACTTATGTGCTAATACCCTTGAGAAAGGTATGAATCCTCTTCTTCTCCCCCCTGTCCAGGTATGGGTAAATAGCAGAACAGACCAGGTTCTCTAGCCTTGGATGGCAACTGGTCTACTGCAGAAAGAAATAGCAACCTACTGTGGGAATGATACATGATCACCTAAGCATGTATCAAACATAGCAAATAACTGACGAGGGTGGCAAAGTCTCATTATTTTATAAATGTCTAAATGTAACTGTAGGTTCTATGTTAGCAGTTTCCTCTATTTTATTTCTTGCTTGTAGAACACTCTTCCAGCTTCTTGCTTCCCTGTCAGCTTTGATCTTCATAAATTGAAATCGTTATCTTCTGTCTTCTTAATTCTTGTTTTTTTTTTGTTCCTTTCTCCTTAATAGTAGTTTTTCACCTATTCTCTAAAATTCAGTAACACCTTGTGGCTTAGTGGCTTTATTGCCTTGCTTGGAGTGAAATGATCAAAACAAAAAATATAAATATGTATATATAATTTGTTGCATGACTTAGCAGCATAAAACTCTCTTTGACAACAAAGCATGTTTGTCACTCCTTTTCTTTCAGCTGTCCCAATCTATCTGTGAAATAAGGTGTTGTAATACCTTGCGTCCTAGTGACTTTATTGCCTTGCTTGGAGTGAATTGATTAAAACATTCTTTTTCTTTCAGCTATCCTGATCTATCTGTGAAATAATGTGTTGTAATATCTTGCGTCCTAGTGGCTTTATTGCCTTGCTTGGAGTGAAATGATTAAAATAAAAAATGTAAATATATATATATAATTTTGTTGCATGACTTAGCAGCATAAAACTCTCTTTGACAACAAAACATGTTTGTCATTCCTTTTCTTTCAGCTATCCCGATCTATCTGTGAAATAAGGTGTTGTAATACCCTGTGTCTTAGTGGCTTTATTGCCTTGCTTGTAGTGAAATGATTAAAATATTGCTTTTCTTTCAGCTATCCTGACCTATCCGTGAAATAAGGAGTTATTATAACATGGATATTATAATGTTAATGATGGAGATAATTCAAACTGGGGTAATATTCCTTTCTTCCATAGTCCACATATTAACTGGTGATATTCCTGGCATGATATGATATTATTAGTACCCTGTAAGCCAGAACCTGCTATGCCACCCACACAGTAGCAAACCACCCATATCACATTGGTAAGAAGTCAGTTCCACTTGAACAGCTTCTTCCCACGAATGACTGCTCTGTGGAACTGACATGCAAGAGGATCTTTCCTTGATCACTACAATCTTAACCTGTTTCAACATTATCATTAAACATGTTATAAAATAAAATAAGACATATCTCGGCTGATTTACAGGCAAATACTCAAGAGCGAGAACTGGATGTGAACGGGACAAAGCCCCGTCACAAAATGACCATTATCTTTCTTCACAAATGTTTCCGACACACGTGTTCCGATCGAAAAATAAAATAATATTTAAAGTGCTCTATTTTTCGTCCAATAAAAATGCTTCCCTCCTAATTATACTCGCTTCGTTTCTCAAGCCTGTTAAGCCATAAAAAACGCTATAAAAGGGGTCACAGGGAAGTTCAGCAGCAGTCAATGGGTGGCCACAAAGGAGACCGGTCACGTTTAGCAGCTGTCAGCAGGAGAGCACCAACCACCGTCAACATGTGTGAACTACTATGAGAGATCGACCAGATCCGAAAGCCGGCTTATGAACTTTACCACATCAAGGTAGCTGTCCCAAACCCTCACGTTCCTGTTGAAATAAACCACGTAAATCTATTTCTGCTGTTGTTGTATTTCTTTCTTGCAACCATACGCTTGTCTATAACAAACATTATCTTCCCTTCCTATCCACATAAACTACCTCTTCACATAACCCTCTACCTTGAGTGGCCCTTGGGCCTTGTACAAGGTGAACCTCATTGTAAAAATAAAAAAAAGCTATATCTGCATTGAAAATAATGATGTGATTTTTTTCTTTTTTTCTTTTTTTAATGAGAAAAATTCATAATTATTGTTAGCCTACGAAAGAAAAAGAATATAATCAGATTTCAAAAGTTTTTATTTTTTTATTTTTATTTTCTTATATTAGACCAGTGGTTCCGAATTTTTACCATCTACTGTCCTCCTGGCTCCCAGGCCACATTCCTAGCAACCCCCACCCCCACATCATACCTTTATGAAGACGTATATTTCTTGGTATAAGATCTACTGCAAATGCAAAACAACAAATTTAACACCTTAAACACACTTATATAGTTTATTTTTTGTTTAACAGCACATCAACTCCTTCATGGGTCATTTAATGCTGAAATTTAATTTTCTTGGGAGCTTTGAAGTAATAAAAATGTTATTCTGCTTTCACAAATGAATAGATGGTAGATGACACTTGGGTTTTTTGCATAAACATGTTTGTGTGGACATAATTACGAGAAGCAGTAACATTTGTGTTTTATATTGTAGTTTTACTGAAGTTATATTATTACAATTTGATTTCTTTAAGAAATTGTAGGATATCATACGGATTAATGTCATGAAAGAGTTCTTTCGTGTTAGTTGATTTCGTTTAGAGGATTATCAACCTCTGTAAGTTATTTAATGTCAAAATGTAAATAATTTGAATACAACTGCATGCCTTCAATTACAAATAAAATGTATTGTTGGCCATTTTGCTATAAAATGTATTGTTGGTTATTCTAAGTGTTGCTGGTAATTTTACTATAAAAATGTATTTTTATACTTTTATTGTTTTACTTTTGTTTGGGGGTTTGCTATTTGCCTATAGTTGGGACCCTAACCGGTGTTATCACCCTGGGTTCAGGGCTAACCTTGGAACAACAGCAATTAAGAGTTAATTCCATACTCTTCAAAGCCTCCAATTCCCCAATCAGAGGTCTTGCTGCCGAATGTAATTCATCATCATATCCAGAACTACATATGTATTTTTAAAAAATCAAGTAAACCAATTTATTATTCATTCAACTGGTTTAACAACATGAATGGATAAATTTATACCTTGTTTCCTGTTTTAAATTGGGTTTCCGGGTCCTTCTCATTCTCTTTCACTCCCAGTATCCCTTTGCGTTTTAGTGGCATTATTGCCTTGCTTAAAGGCTTACAGCTATATCACATTAAACACCAGTTCTCGTACACTCAACGAAGTTAAGCAACTTTGAACCTGGTCAGTACCTAGATGTTGTGACCACTTTGGAATACCAAGTGCTGTGAGCTTGGGTGTGCAGGTGGTGTAATGGATAATGGCTTACAATTTTTAATTGGAGAAATGATTTCCAATTCTAGTTGGGTTTGTTGTGTTCACTTACACCAACAATCAAATAACCTTAGTAAAGGTATGAATCCACCTATTCTCCCCATCTATGGGTTAATTAGTAAGACTTGCATCATTAAATTCTTATTATCTCCTCTCCAACAAAAATTATTACAACCTAAAAATATTTTCTTTCTTTAAATAATCTGCAAATAGTTGATAAGCCGTAAAAATAAATCAATCACTTTGATTTTTTAATGGTATGGATGTCTTTGGTGCAGAGAAATCATCTTCTAAACATCAGGTTACTTAGGAAGTCTTTAGTTTAAATCCTCGATTTCAATAATTTTTTTACCCTACAAACTGCTACACCTAGAGCCTTGCTCCCCTGCACACGTTGGCTGTCTACCCTGGCTGGCGTGTGGCACGTCCTGTCTAGATAACTAACACCAGCAAAATACAAACAAACTGCAGACTTATAACTTTGGGCAACATTTTTTTTTTTTTTTTAGTTTAGTTTTGCATTTGATTGTGTCAGAAGTCTTGCACCCAGTTGACCTAAGTAAGACAAGGACAGTTCTTTAAAAAAAAACATACGGGTTCCTTTAGTTTAAAAGTAAAAGGTGTGAATTAATTTTTTTTTTTTTTTTGTCTTATAGAGCTTTTAAGAGAAAAAAAATATGCTTGTCTGTAAAACCACCCTGTCAGCCTCCTTTTTCCTCACCAACCGTTGCTGCATCTTTCCACAGCCCTCAAGGGGTCGATACCGCCCACTTTGGGAAACCCGGTATTAGGCTTAAAAAAAAAAAAAAAACAATTTCCTTGCTTTTCACTTTCAACCGGAAGTAAAAAGTGGTCCGTTCAAAATGGCGGCAGAATGTAAACATTTTGTTGCAAAACATCAGATATTTCTTGTTGTTTATGCGGTTTTATTTCTTTTTACGCAGCATACGTCGGCTAAAAACGTCCTAATCATTGTAGGTAAGGTATTTATGTATCAGTATAGAATTTCAATGTATTTTACATTTTTATTGGTGATGGCATCATATTCTCTTTGTCGTCAAATGACCACGTATTTTTTTTTAAAGATGAGTAAATTAAATAATTTCTTTCCGATTTCACAAAAAGTTTTAATTTTCTGAAATATTACGAATATTATAAATTAAAAATAAAACTGTTCAATAGCGAACAATACAAAACTTTTAGAAAACGTTTTCTTTCAAAATAGCATTTTCCTTACATTTTTTTTTTTTAGTTTATGAATGCCAATAAATAAAAATTAAAAAAGTATGTATTTTTGGTTATTGATTTTTTTTTTTTTTTTTACATTATTCGTTAAGTTAAGATTTAAAAAATAAATTATCTTTTCACTATTAAAATTCCCGATAAAAAAAAAAAAAAAACAATGTAAAATTGTTATGATTTTGTTTTCGTCTTGTATTCATTTTTTTAGGTATATTTTTTAATTGACATTTAGTTTTTAAAAGCCTCATAATTCAGAACCTGAGTTTTCTTATTTATTTTCATTTTCTATATAGTTTTACTTTTGTTATTTTACATTCTTTCTTTTTTTTATTAAATCTGATATACAGATTGTCGGATAATCTTATTCTGGAGTTATATAGTTTTGTAATTTCAAATTACTACATAATTCATTGTTTTATTTTTCCATTTCACTGAATATTTTATTTATTTATCAGTCATTCAGCTGAACGCATTGACATTTACAGGGAGATCCGAAAGTCTTGTCACCCAATACCTCTCTCCTAAACTTTAAAGAGCTCGTGTTACATAAACATTTAGGGGATGACAAAACTTTCGGACCACCCTATATATTTTTTCTTTCTCTAAAACGTACATTTTGAACACTTGTTAAGTTCATAAATCTTCTGAAACCGAAGATTTTTTTTAAAAAAGCAATTCGAGTATCTTTCTGTAACAATTTTATTTTTCACATACCAAATACTGAGTGAATTTATCCTTTCATGTTGTTAAACCAGTTGAATGAATAAATTGGTTTACTTACTAGCTTCGTATTCTGAAAACACGTTTTTTTTCTGTAAAAATAACAATTTTTTCAGTAAAAATAACTATTTTTTCACCCAATACAAGGCCAGAGAGTCATTCAAGATAGTGTACCCACGCCAAGAAGATTAATGAAGGGTAGAAACACGGGTAATTTTAACAAAACAAGATAAGGAATTTATAATTTATTCATGAATTTACACTACAGTTACCCACATGAAGTTGTGTAAGTTCGTTTCAGAAAAATAAATCAAATTTTTATGGTCATGAAGAGGAAATTTTCATGCAACAGATTAAATGATCTGACACAAAATAATATTCAGAAATGAAAACAAAGGTAAGAGTTCATTGCATACTTTTGAAGGTAGACAAAGAGGGATAGTTTGAAATACTTAACTTTCTTGGATTTTTGAGAGAAAATTCTTTGAAGTGCCACATGGTTGGTTAGAAGCCAATAATATAATTGGCAAATAATTCTACACTGGCAAGAACTTCAGTTCAGGCCACTGGTTGCAAAGAAGTAAAATTAAACTTTTCACATGACTTCAGATATTCTTCTCTTATTAATTTAATTTTTCTCCTCATTTTATGTCACAATGCTCACGGCTTTGTTTTCTCTCTTCTTGGCTAAACGTCTAATTTCTGTGAAGGCAAGGTTTTCATTGGTCCAAAAACAATTTCACATAAGCTCGCAAATTTATTTCCTCCTTCTTTTCAGCTCATTGGTCAATTTCGGTGAAAGCAAGGTTTTCACTGGTCCAAAGAAAATTTCACATATGCTCACAAATTTCTTTCTGTCTTTCCTCAGTCCTCTGAATTTGAGAATGTGGGTAAAGTTTTTTTAGGATTAACTCAAATATCCCTTCCCCTCCTAGATTTGACAGAGTCCTTTAGTTAGGTACCTCCATAAATCGCTAAAAAAAGAGCATAGCTTGATGAAAAAAGATGCCAACCTTGCCGAAAACAAAATTTTATTGTCTAAATGCTTATGTTATTATTTAGAGGAAAGACCAAAGTTTTTTTTAATTATTTTAAAAAATTTTCCTTCTTTTTAGAAAATTCTAAATTTTGATTAAAAAACCTTGTTTCTATTTGTATCAGCAGGAACTAGTAAATAACATAGAAAATTTTAGCACGTTTTTTTGGTATGACACATTAATTTGAAAAATCGTGCAAAAATTAATTATCGGATGTTAATGAAACTTTCAGGAACTATTCACAGATGATCGAAATTATTATAAATATGTTTTTTTTATGAAAGTCATAGTAGAAATATTTTTAAAAATATTTATTTACCCCCCCATAACTAATTTTATGAAAACGCTAGAAATTGAATCGGTTTTAGTGATTACAATAATTAAAAAGCACAGGGCTTTGAGGAATGCAAATCATGTTTTTTTTTGTTTTTAATTGGATACCCAGTCTGAAAATCAGCTCTGAATTGTAACATACAAAACTCAATAAAACAAAGATATTATTTAATTTCAAATGCTTTTATTTGCTTTTAGTTGTTTTTATGAATATGGACAATATTTTCTGAAAGCAAAAAAAATTTTTTCGATGAAAAATGAATTTTAATACAATTATTTGTTATTTCATTAATTATAATAGATTTTACATTTAAGTTGTTAAAATATTATAAAATTAGTTAAAAGCCACAGGCTTTGTCCTTATGAGATAGATCTTTTTTTAGCGCGTTGTAAATTGTATCATTTTGACTAATCAGAAGATCCCCAGTAATTAAGAAATGTAATTTTGTGCTTATAATCGAGCTGTAATTATAAAATACGGAAGACCAACCAGAATATAATTAAGTTGCGTTATTTGAGTTAAGCATTGTTCTCCGCTGTTAAGGCCTTTACTTTTATGAAACACGTGTTGAGAAGTTAATTTGATTTTTCAATTTCAACTGAGAAGGTTACCTACAAGTATCAGTATCATCTTATGAAATTTATATGATCTTATTTTTTATATTAATCTCAGTTACGACATTTTTCCATAAATGAAATATCAAAATTAATAATAAAATGAATGCAAATACAAATAACAGTAGAATGTAATAAATGTACATAAAATTATAGTATTTTATGTACAATTCTGATAAAATTTCATAAGAAAGGTACCTATAAATTAATTAGATACCTTTCTTAAGAAATATGAAATTTAATGTCACTCTTAACAGTTTTATTTTAATTTCTTTAGAATATATTTCCCATAAAGCATCATAAACGTAAAGGTGAAAGGTAAGTACAAAAAAAACAAAAAAAAAAAAAAAAAATTATGAAATCCCGTTAAAAATAACGGGGTAAATAATTTGTTCACGTAAATGTAAATTATTTCACTTTTCTCCTTCCGTAGAACAAATTAGCCTCATGGAATTAAGTAAATATATCATTCATCACATGTCAAGAGACGCGAAAGTTTATGACCTGCTTTGTTTTATTTTCAAATTACATTTTTTTGGCACAAAAGCTAAGTTAAGTTTGGTTCAAAATATTTTAAATAAACATTATATTTTCTGATTTTCTTAAAATAAGTTTTGAAAAAATGATAATTGATATTTAAAAAAAAATTCAAAGTCAGATTTCCAGTTTTTTTTTAAATGGAAAAAAATGGTCAATTTTTTGACTCAAAAAAAACTAGATTTTTTAACGAAAATTTCGGATCGATTAAAAAATGGAAAAAAATACCCCCAAAATACTTTGACCTTTCCTCTTAATGAATAACAAACATTTAGACGCTAAAATTTTGTTTTTCGTCAAGTTTATCTTTTCATGCTATGCTTCCGATCTCGTGGAGGTACCTACCTTTAGTACATTAATAGTAGGAGTATGTATTAAATCTTTTTCAAGTAACCGATCTGCTAGACTTAGTGCTTGTTGTGTTTTGTTGTCTTGTTTCCCTAGTCTTGCTGATATCTGGTGTGATATTGTGACACGTTCTGGGGGACCAATCTTGTAGCAACTTTAGCGCTGTTCCTTGGTCACATTGATCCTAGCCATTCCATATCCAGAATTACCACTTCTTTAATGCCTGGCTGCTTTCTATTGTGTTTTGATAACCAGCATTTTTAATGACCATCATTTATCAATTGTCAAGATTGCCTATTTGTAAAATTATGGCTTACACACTTTCTTGTTTTATAAACTTAAGACTCTGTTGTTCTCAGCTCCAGGTCCTTTGACCACATTCCTGGCTGACTCAGCCCATCCCGATTATCTCCAGCACCTTTCATAGTTAATTAATTACTCTCACACTTGCCACATTGATCTATCAAAACATTATCCTTTCTGCAATTCTCATTCTCTGAGAATCTCAATTTCTTCTTAAAAATAAAAAGTTTAATTTTCTTCATTGTAGCTGATCAGTCTATCCTTCATTATAGCTTCTAATCCTTATTTTCTGGCATTAAATATTATAGCTGATCTGTCTATCTTTTAATCCTTATTTTTCAGTGTTAAACAGTATCACAGTATCTCTCCATGCTCTTATTGCTTTAAAGATCAATATTAGGCATTTTCACTGTTTCTGAGACAACTGCTGGTTTCAATATGTCTTTCAATTGTTTTTCTTTATTGGAATGCTGATGATTGATAATTTCCTGTAAATCACAAAGATCTTTTTTTACAGCATTAGAGTCTGCAACGATATTTTCATGTCCTCTTGTATGGGAAATGTCTATAATGAAATCACTTAAGCTGAAATGACAGTTGTCTGTCCTGTGTCAACCGCAAATGGCTAGTAAAGACATTACACAGAGATTTATGATCCATTAACAAAAGTGTACCCCTACCTTTTACGAGCTGTTTAAAGTGCAACATTGCTAGATATCAGCAAGCAACTCACGATCGAAGGTGGAATATCTCTGTTGGGTCTATGATAACTTTCTAGAGAAGCCAGTGGGAAAAGGTTGGCCATTTATCATTTGATGTGAAGCATTGTCTTCTGCTTAATTC